TCTAATAAGGGAAGAGTAGTCTGGGGCAGGGCATTTTCAAGCTACATGCAGAAGGGAGAGCCGATGAGCAGGCTATCCTGAGAAGTGGCTCTCTAGCTGCCTATGATCAATGCATGAGGGCTATGCCTGCCAGGTTGGGCATATACCATGGAAGAATAGCATACTTGTGGTGGTAGGGAGTGACGCGCTAGGCTGGGGCAAGAGAAAAAGTATTTGCAGAGAGTGAGTGACAGAGCCAGCCTAGGAGAGCTGGCTCTAGGAAAACAAATCAGTGTTACTGTATTCTGTAAGCTCTGCAACACTTTGAGCTGTTTTAAGCATGGTACTTACCGACATATCAGAACCAAAGGGCTAAGACATGTTTGAGGATTATGGCTAAATTTTAGGACTTGTGGGTTATTCAGTGCATTCTTCTGACTGTAAGTCTAAGGCACAACCACTCATCCTTAAATTATTTTGAACTGACAGGGCATGGCTGTCCTCACAGTTGTACACTCGGATTCATGTGAACAGGATAGTGTGCTCCTTCTCCAGCTCTCTGCTTTAACCCTAGGAGATTTCCCCTGGGAGAACAAGGCAGCTTCTTTTTGCTTGTTGACACTATTTGCCTGAGGTAAGGCCTGAAAACTTGGTGTCCTTTCTCCCTCAGATTTCACCAAAGCTGCAAGTGCACAGCAAAGCAGCATGTCCTCAAGCAGTTTTCCTTTAGCTGATAAAACATATTGTAAATTGGCTACGTGCATGTGAGAGTAAGTTTGTCCTTTGGTCCACAGGAAGCAGTGAACATGCCATTCTAATATTAGAACAAGTAGTCCATGGGCTGTGGCCCACAGAACTGCCAGCTGCAGGCTCTCTGATTACATCTTATATTTCGCAACAGAAAATCCATTTTTCAGATCCTCTCTAGCCATTACCCTGCACTCTGCTGCATCTGGCTCTTTTTATTGCTGAAGGCTCCTTCCTCACTTCTGAGGGTGCACCAAGGGTCTCCTTTGTCCCACCCTAGCAAATGTACTGTACCATGGCACTCTCTCTAATTAAAAGAATGTACACCAAGGATATACTGTAGGGATAACATATCAATGTATTAAAAATATGATTCCCCCAAATGGAAGTGACTCCCCATAATTTGTTCCCCACAACTTAAAGTGTTTAGATTTATTATTAATTCTTCTTATTATTATTATTTGTTAAGATTGTTAAATGTTTTTATTATTGCCCCTTTAGAATATAATGTATTAGGTCATGTAACTTAGAACTGTTAAGAATATAATCCTATGTAGCCAGAAACAGCCCCCCCTTTGTGCTCCAGGGCATGCTCAAGCTTGTGCAAGGGGCTGCTTGAAATTGACATTGCAGAGATACATTGTAACAATGCATTGTCAAGCCACTAACTCTGCTATGGGAGCCAAGCCCTGTAATTGACTAAGGGCATTGTTACTTAATTGACGCCTGTTCTCTTTAAAACATTGTAACTTTATTCAGCACTCAGAGAATGTTTTAAGCAATACCACCCAGAAACTTTTTGTAACTACAACTCTGAGATATGTAAAGTTATTATTATACAAAAATATTGTATGGGAAACATTAATTAAGGAATGTATGTAAGAGAGAGAGTGCTTGGATGATGAGTGAATGGTTCTAAGAGGTGCCAGCCTGAGAATACAGCAACAAAGGGCTGAAGAAGGCGTCAGGTGCCAGTGCAACCAAAAGGTGTCAAGTGGAGAAAACCAAGTACTGGAGGTCCACCCGATGAGAGAGCACCTGGCAGCCACCCTGGAGACATCAGCATGATACAGCAATTTCCATAGACTGGCATAGGAAGAAATTCCTATAAGAACTGGACTAAAAAACTATGGAATCAGAGTCCAAGGTTCTGCTGCCAGCCTACCAGGAGCTTCAGATGCGCATCTGATCAGGACTTCGCTCCCCACTACCATCACTTGTGTACAGAATCCCTGGCCAGTATTCTGTCACAAGCAACTTCCAGGCTGGTAACTATAACAAGTACACAGAACCTGAATGAATGAATGTTTATATGTATATGGGTTAAGTAGTTAAACAACGTTGTTTGCTTCTATCTTTTTTTTATTTTTTTATTATTATCTTTACAATAAATGTGGCTTTTTGCCTTACCCTCCTCATAAGATCCTGCTTGCTTTTATTTGATATAACATAGGGACTTCAGATCTGGCAAAAACTGCAGAAAAAACTGCCTTAGCCAGTTTCAGTTTGGAAATATGTCCCTGCATAAGCGCATAGTGCTTTGCAAAAATGTGGTCGAAGGACCATGTGGCAGCTCCACAGATGTCTTTTCTGGGTACTTTACATAAGGAATGCTACCGAGGTAGCCATGGCTCTGGTTGAGTGTGCCCTTATGCTCTCTGGAGGGAGCACGTCTGACTGTGCATAGCAAAGCTTCATGCAATCCGAGATCCAGAGGGAGAGGTCTTTGTGATGAGATGGCCTGGCCCTTATTGTGGTTTGCTATTGAAAGAAATAGTCTGCAAGATGCTAGGAATGGTCTTGTTCAACTGTAGGTAAAAAGAAAGCACTCTGCACAGGTCAAGAGTATACATTTTCATCTCGAAAGAGTTGGCTCTGGTTTGGGAAAGGAGGTAGGAAGATGTATTGTCTGGTTGATATGGAAGGATGAGTATACTTTGGGGAGGAATTTGGGGTGGGTACGAAAAAGTGACCTCGTCTTTAAAAAAGGTGGTATATTGAGGATCCGCCATTAGGGCCACGAGCTAGATCCTACAGTGACGGGTCCGGCCACGTCGGACCCGACAAGAGGACTGGGTTGGGCCTCCAGGACCCCTGCTAGCCCCCGACAACTCGCCCAGGCTGCTGAGACTGCTGCCGCAGCCCAAACACATGCTGAGACCTCCAGGACCCTCGCTGGGCCCCGATGACTGGACCAGTCCACCCAGCCCATGCCAGAGCTGGAGCTGGAACCTATGGACACACTGCTAGCACCTCTGTCCCCAGCTAACCCCGAGGAGCAGCG